TTTTAAATTTATAAACAAACTGTTCAAGCTTTTCTAGAAAAACTAAAATTAAGATTTGTTTTAGTTTTCCACATTACAGTATTTAGGTTGGTTTTAAATTTTGTGTGTGCTTTATTTCTTGTGGGAGAGGGAGAGGGCCCAGTAAGAAGAAAATGTCTAGGGCCCCAAAGTGGGTTAATCCGGCCCTGTTCTAATGTATAGTACATTAGAAGATTAAAGTTATCTATATGTATTTCTCATGATATATGAATTTTATCAGTTAAGTACTTACTGTACCTTTCATTCTTCATTTGAGAACTATAGTGATTGTAATCTTCTTTTGCTTTATTAAATAATTGAAAAGCATCTTCAAATTTCTTATTTTCCATTTTTTGAAGAATTTCACTTTCAAGATGTTTTGCATTTACATACCTAAGAAAAAGAAATATAAATCAATATTTTTAAAACATATGAATAAGGACTGGATTTATATGCATATGCATGCTGTTTTGCTTAAATGCTATAATGTTAAAACCTTGATATAAACATAATTTGGGTCCAAGTAAATCAAATTAAGGTTATCCAATAATGCTTATTTTGTGTCTTTTTTAAAAATGCATATAAAAATATAGGTTTATGATTTTTACTGTGCATTTTGCAGATTTAACTGTTTTCAGGACTAAAACAGTGCTTTATAAACTTTATAAGTTATTTGCATGATTGCAAGTGTGAGAAATATTACTACAAAATCCAATTACAAATGAGAGTAAAAATTTGAATGTTTTAAATTTGAATTGTCTAACTTGCATTCTTTTAAAATTCTACTGGGTACATATTTTGTATTGACACGAAAACTTTCTTTTTCCAAATTCTCAAAATTCTTTGAATTAATTAGAATAAAACTATTGTAAATGTTAACATTTTATTAAATTAATAAATATAAATTTAAATCTTTCAAAAAATTGTTTAAATATAATGTTCAATTAAATATTAGCGAAATAATTTCTTATGAGTAAAGTAGTCAAATTTCATGTATGGAGCATGAACAGAAAACATTCCATTAGATCAAGTTCAGTTCAACCAACAATATGGGTAAAAACAGCAAAAACTATAATGCTGAATTGCTAAGAAAGTATGTACAGGAATTTGAATCTTAGATATTTAAAACAGATGGAAAAATTATTTATTGTAACGTATGCCTTAAATCATTTCCTGCTAAAAAATGCTTTAAGTGTCCCAGCATGTTGAAACATCCTTACATCAGTGGCAACATGAAGCATGAAAATGAGCCAAAACAGCAATTTATCATAGGTAAGTATTCTAGTTGTACTGAAACTAACTTTAATAGAGTTCACTATATCAGTTGTGAATAAATCATCATCAACTCAACATTAAATCTATAATTAGTTAATAACTTAATAAATGTGTTTACTCATTTATCATCATTAGAACAGGGCTATAAACAAAAATATACTAATACTAAAGACCAGTGACATAAGATGAGGAAATACCATAATATGAGGGAAAACTAGGTTCATCCATTCATCCTCACATTTCATAAACAATTGTGTGTGTGAAAATAAATTCAATAATAACAGATTAGAAAGTTAAGTTAGAACATTTTATTGAATATGTAATTTTATTTGTAATTGATTTGATTCTATAACTTGTACATAAAACATTATTCTAATACATAGAGTCCCGTACAATGCACAAATAAAGCAAGCAACAGTCTCAAACGATGCCGTTCAGAATATACGTTTTTTTTTTCAACTTATAGGCCAAGGTTTAAACTTTCATAAATTGTGTGATAATGCAAGTTTCGATAACATGATTTCCTATAATGTGTAATGAATCCCCTGCGTTGTACAGGACTCTACTGTATAGTATATGTTTTGTAATGTCATAATTTTCAAATCATGTCAGTTACTGCTATGTGTTTATCTCCTTCCAATTAAAAGTATGACGTAATACACATTACTAACATGTGCTCACAAACAGAAGTACAAATGCATTTCAACAAACAAATTTTATTGTATATTATTGGTGCTTTTAACGTACATAATGAATAGTCCAAGCATCATTATGTGCATATGTATATACGGTACATAGATTGTGATTTTAAACACACACACACACAATTCCAGCCATTACTGATTTATAATTGTTTAAAAAATAATAATAAAATATATTTATAAAATACACTACCCTACAATAATGGACAGGACACCTGTCAAGTTCGGTGGTGGTGGTGTTCTTGTTTGGGGGTGTTTTTTGTGGTATGGCCTGAGAACTTTGCATGTTGTTCCTGGTATATTGAATGCCTATGCCTACATATCAATTCTTCCTACAGGTCTTCCTGTAGGAAAGGACAATCAGGTTCTTCCTACGCTCTGGCAATTTTATGGAATGGACGAATGTTACTTCCAGGATGACAATGCTCCATGTCACATTGCAGCCTCTGTCAAGCAGTGGTATCAAGATACAAATGCCAACCGTCTTTCCTGGACTGCTCAGAGTCCCAACCTAAACCCAATAGAACATTTGTGGGACGAGTTAGAGCGACACTTACAAACCAGGGAACCACGTCCAAAATCTACAGCTGAGCTGACAACATTCTTGAAGCAGGAATGGACACAAATACTCATTAGGGCAGTGTTTCTCAACCTCTAACAAATCATAGCCCCCTTCAACGTAGTATTGACCCCTTCAGTAAAACTGTTATGTAGTATTGCCCCCTTCAATACAAAATTTTGATGCTGAGGGCCAAGACTAACGCCAAATTCGTACTGCATTGATAGACTAGTGACTAGTATAATGTTATTTGTTTAATTATTGTACGATATAACAAATAAAATATCTTATTATTCTTAATACAGTAGAGCATCGTTTATCCGAATCAATTGGGGACTGGGGTTGTTCGGATAACTTATTTTTCGGATAACCGATTATGTATGAAAAATATATTAACCTATCCCATGCTGAAATTTTTCTCTGTTGCGTGTCGCTTTGCATTGAATTTTCGTCGATATTAAGCCTAACGAAAACTTTTTAAAATAATAATTGTGGCTATTATATCATTAAAAACTATTTTTTTATTTTGTACAAACAAAATAAATATATTGAAAAATATAAAACCAAAAAAATATACTTTAGAAGTTGATCTAGTATCAAAAACGTTCAATTCAGCACGACACAGTCCTCAGAAAAACACCACACAAAAGTGCCAGTGCTGCCAGCTAAAACACACACACCAACAACAAAAAATATTGGCATAGCCCAAGATATAGCCAAAGATTGCAGCGCCACAGCACTAGCGAAAACTTAAATTTGCCAAATGGAATGCTTTCGGATAACAAACGTTTCAGATAACCAACTTTTGGATAAACAATGCTCTACTGTATAATGTTTTACTATATCACCCAGAAAATTGTTTTTCGCCCCTAAAATATAAATTGTTACTAATCGCCCCCTCAATATGGAAAATTGCCCACATGGGGGCAATATCGCCTCCATTGAGAAACACTGCATTAGGGGGACCCTCCTCTTATTAAAGCATGTATTCTTTACCTTATGCCATCACATCTTACTGTACGGTCCATTATTGTAGGGTAATGTATGTCAACTACGAACAACTCGATATAGTCATAACGTAGTTAATTAAAACTGATTCTTTGGAAACATGTGACATTTAACATACAATCATGATTTGATGATAAATAATAGAATATTTTATATTTGTTTTTTCAAGAAATTATTGACAAAAAAATTAATAACAACTAAAAGCAAAATCAATTATAAAGCTGTATTCAAACTGATTTCAATTGATGTAACAATTATTACTAGAGAAAAGATTTTAAAGTGCGGCACTTTTCCAAAAAATATAGCTGTTTTTATACAAATAATTCAAGATATATATTTTGGGGCTTAAAATGAAGCAAAATGAACACACTATGTTTAACCATTTTGCATCTTTATGTGAGATTAGCACATTTCTTCCTCTTTGAAGCTTTAGCACCTATTCCTCACTATTCTCCGTATTTTTAAAAGATTGGACAGAAAAATAAATAAAATAAAATTATTTTCACTCTTCTTGAGGGGTGTCAAACTGGCGGCCCTGATGTAATTTTGCGTGATCCACGGGCATGATGCTCTGAAATTAAATAAAATGGCTGACAGATCAAGCTGACTGATAAACATCTATCTTCTACAATGAAAATTTTTCTCAGTCTTTGAATCCAGATATTGGAAAACTAGGAGGAAGAAGATAGTGCTGGCAAGTTTCCAGTGAAAACAATTAATTTTAGTTTTATAAATATGCACATTAAATAAAATAAATGTTTAAATAAAAGCAATACTATAGCAATTATATATTGTTGAGTTGAATTCACTAAACTACATATGTTTTAATTGCCCTATCTATCATATCTATCTATTAAACTACATATATATTAATCAAACCACCTTACTATTTCCAGCAACGTATTTAATAAATTTAAAAACGTTTTCGACTATATTTAATAGTCTTCATCAGTTAAGAACTTTAAAACGGAAAACTAACGTAAAATAGAATGTAAGCTATACAACGGTTTAAAAAATTAAAATTAATTACGTAAAACGTAAATAAAACATAAAAATAAATAAATATTAAGAAATTAATCGTGGTAACGAATGAAATTAAATTAAAATAAATTAAAAAATAAAAATTAATCGTCATGGTAAAAAGATTTCCATGCGCAGGATAGACTTTCTGCGTCTCTATGGTTGATGCATCCTTTGTTGATATGCGCCTTGTAAATTTCAAGTTTTTCAATATGTTTAAGGACTTGTTTGTTGGTGGCTGTCCTAATTATAAATGCTTTGTCCCAATGTACATTAATATCTTGATGTTTAGCAAAGGCTGCAAGGACGGTGCTGTCCACGTTTTTAGTAATAGAATATTTATGTTCTTTAATCCTCTGTTTTAAAAGTCTCATGGTGGCACCAACGTAAACTAGCTCTGAATTAAAACGGCGATCACTTAATGGAATAGAATAAACTCCTGTAGTATTGTAACTGTTTCCTTTCTTCTTGTCATTTCGTAAAATTCTATAAATCGTCGGATTACGACGATAGGTAACTCTTAAATTATTCTTTTGAGATACTTTTTTAATCATCGATTGAAGGAAAGGAATATAGTTGAGAACTACTCTTCGTCTTGGTTCTTAGTTGTAGGTTGCTTATTTGTTTGATTACAAAATTTATCAATAAGAGCATTAATTTCACTTATACGATATCCCTGTTGTACAGCTATTGTACGTATGTTATTTAATTCTCTGTGTGTGTCAACCATACTCGTACAATGGGTATAGGCCCGCTTTATCCATGATCGAAAGGCTGCATTCTTAAAATTATGAGGATCAAAGGAATTCTTCGGTATAATAATAGGAAGATAGCTAGGCTTTCGATAAATATTTGTCCATATTTCACCATATTTACAAGTTATGGACAGATCCAGAAAATTTACGTTAATTTCACTTATCTGTTCCAATGATAAAGTTACACCATACGGGTTGTTATTCATTTTGTTAAGGAAATATTGAGGAAAAATTTATTAAATACGTTGCTGGAAATAGTAAGGTGGTTTGATTATTTTAATTACATTCCAGTAAGTTATTTTATTTTATTACATATATATTAATTGCCTGCACTCTCACTTCAAATTATAATTTTAAGAAAATTTGTAAATGTGATGTGCCCCACATAAATCTTATCAGTCACATTAATGGCCCATTATTTAAATGAGTTTGACACACCTGCTTTATATAGTTAGTTGTGTTAGTGTTGTACCAGTCTGAACCAGAACCCATTGTTCACAATAAAAACATGCCAACGGTTAAAAAGGTAAAGTAATATGCTCTTTCAGAAGAATTCAAGATGTAATTCATTGAAACTGATAGTTTCATTCTTTAATGTGCCATCTGAGATATAAATATTGCAATCAATGAGAAGCATCAAAGAGTTAATAAAGTTTTGATGAGCAAAGCACAAAAATAAACAAAATATCTTGCAAGCACTTTCAACATGTAAAGAATGACTTCTTCAGGCAAAACAAAACAAATTTTAGAATGTTGTTATAAATTTTAACATTAATGTTAATATGTTCTAATTGGAGTGCACATGTTACTTTTAAATGTTTAATGTTAATTTATACTAATTGAAACACATGTGTTAAATTTAAATGATACACTATTAAATTTCCACAGAATTATCTAGAAGGGTTCTCAATCATTACTTTATGCCCTTGTGGAATGAATCTTCCATCCTCTTACAATGCAAGGACCACAACTGTTTATTCATCTGGAAAACATTATTTATTGAGAAATTGGAGCCGTGTAATAAGTCTGCTCTAGCACTCACAAAAATATGGGTTTCACTATTTAATAATTTTAAATCCTAGCTGGCAATAATTTTCAATTATAGTTTAACCATTAATTGAATGTGTAAGTTTAATGGTGCATCATTTAAATTTAACATGTGCATTCCAATTAGTACAAATTAATGTTACTGTTAAAATTATAACAACATTCTAAAATTTGTTTTCATTTCACCTGAAGAAGATATTCTATACATGTTGAAATTCAGCTTTGACAGATTTGCCAAAGCTAAATTTGAATTAAATTTGAGGAACAATCTAGATGTGGAAACCTTTGAAACTTTGACTGAACTCCCTTTCCAAATGCTTACAAGCGATGCTTCATTGGTTTCAGTTGATGCTGAGCAGAGTTTCTCTGCATACAAGAATCTCCCCGAGCTCAAAGTGCCAGTGACTTACTTTCAAAAACAGAAATGTTGTGTGTAGTCCAGTATAAGAAGTTGGTTAAAACCCAATAAATGTCATTTTTACCTACTAAATATGTTTACTTTATGATATTTGCTATAGTATCAGATAAAGAATGTTCATGTAACTGGTTTAGAGTTGAATAAATACATTTCATTAACACCTTTTTTTCCACCTTTTCATATACTTTTTCAAAACCTTTTTTCCCTTTTCTGATCATAATTTTGCACCTTAAAATCCATTCTGTAATTATTACACACATTTTTTTTACAAAAATTCTGAAGAAAAACATGGAACAAATCACAACCAAAAAAAATTACACAATGGTTACACAAAAAGCATATATTTGAAAAGCTTTATGTTTTTGATATATCTGATTAAAAAAAAAAGTAAAATAATTTTGTTATATATGTTACAGTGAAAGTGGATGGCCGGTGAATGTACAGTACTGTACATTATTATTAGCAAATGCACACCTTCACTAAAGTAATCAGTGAATCTGTATTACAGCATTCACAAGATTTTGGCTTGTCCTGAAAAATTGATCATTAAATGTAAGGTGCCTTAGACAAAACAGTTACTTTAAGAACAACTGCATCTGCCCAATAAGGCTTTTTCAAATGTTCTTGAACTTTGAAATGCCACACTATGAAATGTAAAGGTAAGAAAAATGGCACTTTACACACTAAATATAAAGCTAGCCCCAACCAATAACAACTTGCAAAAAAGAATCCAGAAGACTATACCTGACAGAAATAAACAATCAGACAAATACAACACTACCGAAGTCATCTATAAAATACCTTGCACATGCAAACCCCCAAAAATATACATCGGTGAAACAAAAAGAAAATTAGAAACAAGATTAAAAGAACACATCGCAGACCTGAAGTATAATAGAATCAACTCTGTTTTTTACGAACATTGCACGACCCACAACTGCAAAATAGATAAGAATGATGCAATAATAGTACACAAAGAAAAAAATTGGTACAAAAGAAAATTCAAGGAAAGCTACGAAATTACTATAGACAAAAATAATATTAACAAGAACCTAAGCATTGACATCCATAAAAACTGGCTACAATTATTAAAATAGAATGTTTATACAGTCGCAGGCGAGGCTGTACACAACACTCGGGGAGGGGTGAAGTTACAAATTACGAGGCATGCGGGGGAGGCCGTCAAGTCGGGAGAAGATGGGAGGGGGAAGGGAGCGGGAAATACGGAAAGTGCCAGACTGATACCGTATACTATCGATGTAACAGACTGAAGAGGGGCGAAAGCCCAAAACGTGTTTCTGTATGAATTAAAAGTAGATGATGGAATTATTTGCCAAGTGTCGATAAATGCACCAAGTCGTGACATAGAATTAGAAGAAACAAGAAAAAGAAAACACGGTTTCGACAAATAACTAAAACTTCTAAATGTCATAACTCTTCAATTTACTACAATAAATAAAAATGTTCATTAAAAGATTTTTCATTTTATTTTAAATTTACTTTTTACAACTTCAGCTTATAAAGGTTAACAAACACACTAGACAGAATAAACAATGACTATTATTTTAAAATGAATGATTTGTTCCACATTCACTGATTATTTTAGAGAAAGCTTACTAGTAATAGATTGCATTCACTGTACAATCTACTTTTACTGTAAGATATACAATTAGTTGATTAATCATGAATTAATGTATAATAAACTTTTTGAGAATAATTAAATTGTTATATATGTATTAATTACTGTTAAAATTTATTAAAAGAATTTTAAATCCATTGAACAATTAAATAAAAATACTATTTAAATATGTATTAATTAAAAGGTATTAATATAATCTATTTCACATTTAAGAAAATTTTTCAATATTCATAAGTATTTACTTACATGATGAGATCATTTCTAGTTTGGAAGAGAGTTGTTTTCTGACTTATTTTATAAGCAGGAAATACAATTTTACCTGTATTAACCATGAGTAATGTATATCTGTTTAAAAATATATATATGCTTTTATAATCTTACATAAACATTTATTTCATTTTTTAAATCTAATTTTATAATTAAAACCATTTATTCTAAGTAAATGTTTTGTAAATTTGCATAGACAAATTTTTTCCAACTAGAAAATTATTCATAACTTTCTGGTTGCTTAACATACAATATACAAAATATATATATTAATGTTAATGTAATGCTAAGAAGATATACATAATGACAGTAATGCATCATATATATATAAATGCTAGCAACAACAGTTATCAGTAAAACAAAAGTGTTTATTAGTCTATATAGCAACTTCTAGTAGACATTGTCAGTTTATGTATTAAATATGAAAGAAATCATGCATTAGGTTTCTGAGTCTGTAAATGGTATTTTCAATACAATTTATAATAAAACTATTTCTATTTTTGATTCTACAATATCACAAAGTACAAACAAAGATCAAAACAGCTTATATTGATCCAAGTATCATTCATAGTATCCAAAAATACTAAAAATTCCTTTGCTATAACCATATATACTGTAAACTACCCATTGGAAATAAATGTTAACAGATTAATAATTCAATTGCACTTAAATAAAAGTTCATTATTCATTGAAAATAAATATGTAAACTTTTTAAATAAAAATTGTCATTGGTGTGACTCCAGTGACTTTTCAATATTACACATAATGAAAGACTGAGAAGTTTACTCAAATATGAAAGTGATTTGAAATATCTTATATAATACAGCAAAGTTCAACTCAAGACTTTAGAGAAAACCTAAATAAACTCTCAAAAAAAGGAGCAGCTGTATAACTTGTATAACTGTATATAACTTTGTATAACTGTATAACTGTATAACTTTGTATAACTGTAAATAAACTTGTGAAGAAAGATGTAACTACCAAAAAATAATATATAAGATCTAAGAACTTGTAAGAAAATAATTATTAATGTAAATTTTCAATTTATTGTTTGTAAAATGTAGGTTTTCTTTTTGATAATTGTAATTACTTAGCCCCTGAGTAACAGGGCTCCCAACCTTTATACTAATAAAGATTGATGATGATGATAAAACTATTTCTATTTTCTGCAGTAAATATATTATGAATTTTCCAAATGGGTAAAAAATAATTTGACTACGCATATTTAAAAGCTTAAAATTGTAACATTCTAACATTATATATCTAATTTATTTTTGTCTTTATATTTTAAATTTACTGTTCTCACATTATAAATTTATGTAAGAAAAATTTAGATGAGGAAAAAACTGGTTTTATTCTCTATCTATATCAGTGTTTCTCAATGGGGGCGATATCGTCCCCATGTGGGCGTTTTATATGTTGAGAGGGCAATTTGTAACAATTTATATTTTGGGGGTAAAAAACAATTTTCTGGGTGATATAGTAAAACATTATATTAAAATTAATTAGCTATTTTATTCGTTATATTGTACAATAATTAATTTTAAAGAAATAACATTATACTAGTCACTAGTCTATTCAATGCAGTACGAATTTGGCGTTAGCCCTGGCCCTCGGCATTGAAATTTTGAAGTGAAGGGGGCGATACTATGTAACAGTTTTATTGAAGGGAGTGATACTACGTTGAAGGGGGCGACGATTTGTTAGAGGTTGAGAAATACTGATCTATATCAATCATTCTATATTCTTTAATGGATTGTAAAATTACAAACTGCTAATTAAGAAATTACTTTTACCACTAACTTTATTATGATTTATAATGTTTTTCTGGATTATTTACTCAATGTTAAAGTTTTTCAACTTTCTAGTGTCAAATTTTTTATATTAAATTGCTTAATTACTTACAATTGTTGCTGTAAACCACCACCAGGTTCATCTTCATTTTCAATTAAACTTGTTAAGGAGAACAATATCATCACACGAATGAAAACTTCTCTAGCTTCAGGATAAAGTTTATAACAATCTCCAGCAATACTTTTAGCTCTAAAAAAATTTACTATCTAATAATTATTTCAAAGTAATATGATTTGATAACATGAATTTCAAAGATCATTTAGTAATAAAACAAAGTTAACAAAATGAATTTATTATTTTGTGAGGCTCTGGACAGGTCCGAACCCTCGCTAAAATTCGCGGAAAATAATGGTTTTAGAGAAAATTATATATTGGTTAGAAATAGATTTTTATTTTATGAAAACGCGACGCTAACTTTAAAACAATGGAAGAATGTAAGTCCGTCAACCATTTCCGGTTGGAGATCGAATTAAACTTCGATTTTGACCTCTCCCGCGCCCCCGAAAGGTTTCGAATTGTCATCAGGTGACGACGGGAGACCAATCGGAAAGGGGAATCTGAGAGAAAACAGATAAAACCCCGGAAATTCGAGGACGCGATGGCTTCTTCTCCCGAAAGTTCCAAGTGACGGATCTGTTGTTGTGTGTGTGTCTCGCACCCATCTTCGTCTCCATCTCCCGACCTCGGATCGACATC